CCCTATCTCCAAAAAAAAAAAAAAAAAAAAAAAAAAAAAAAAAAGGCAAATAAATAAATAAAATAAAGTACTTAAAGGAAGAGTAAAGCAAAAAACAAGAAGCCACATAAGGATGTACACAGGGAGTGTGGATCACGTATGTTGCTGTACTGACCTTGAAATTTCTAATGCTTATAAGCAAGCAGCAGCTGCTGGGAGACACGGGATTGTGATAGGATCTGCTGAGTTAAACCAGCCCAGATACTTTAGGAATGCCTCAACTTTAAAATGGAAGTCGGTTTTGCTTTAGGGAAGAGGTTATGCTTTTGTTTCCACAGGAAATGAAAGGCTGTAGATTCCTTCCAGATTAATAGAGATCTGATTTGACTGAGGGAAACCACCTGTGTATCTTGGCTATAGACATGGTAGAGGAAGCCAAAAAAGACTACAGGACAGGTGATGTGTAAGCTGATCCCTTGACATGGGAACAGCTCTGAGATATGAAAAATCTTGTTGGTTATAGAGTCCTCGTGACATTATTATTACATGTCATCCTTTCATATGAATGGATAGAGACTTAATTTCAGTTTAGTATGCAGTCCAAATGGACTTATAAAGTTGACAGATGCCTTTTACTTGCTTAAACATAAAACAAAACAAAAAAAAAAAAATCATCTTTACCTGACTTGTTCACTGCACATTCTATACTTGTGTTAATGGAAATGTGTATGTTACCTTTAAATGTTTGTGTGTGTTTCAGAACAAGTGGCCCAGGTGATTCAGCCTCTCAGAATACCTCTGCTACAGTTTCCTCAGAGTTCTGCATCCAGAACAGCTTCAGGGTTGCTGACTGAGATGCTCCAGCCTCATAGACTATTCTAGCTAGGACTGCAGATAAGCCTTGCACTTTCCCATTGCACAGAGATTGAACAACAAATAATACAGCTAACTCTCCCAGGATTTGACCATTATGCCAATTTTCCCAGGACCTCTTGAAGGTTTCAGTGCCCCAAGACAACAGGAAGCAGTCTAGAAAACATGACACCCACACTCCCAAGAGATGGAAGCAGGTGGTTTTTGGTCATTCAATGGGTTATAGATGTTTGTCATTGTTTAGGAAGGTTGTTTACAAGGTCTTATTAATCATGATCAGGAAAAAAGCTACACAAAAGAGCTAGATTCCAGGATGTCTTTCTGAAGGAAAAGGGCGGGGGGGGGGGGTTATAGGATAAAAATTGTGAATAAAAGGGTGGATTGTTGAGTCTACTTTTAAACAATCACTATTCTCAAACATTTACGTGGTATGGATTTTTGTATAACAATATAAATTTAAGGTTATTTTGCTATACTATATATTTAAGGTACTGTACCTATACAGCTCATTTTAAAAGGTTATATGAAGTTTTAGTCTTTGAAAGTTATTTAAGATGACAAATACAGGTTAGTAGTCATCTATAACTATCAAACTTACAGTCATGTTAGGTATGTTTTCAAGGTCAAACAGATATATTTTAGATAGGAAGGTGGACTTCAAACACTTCAGGGATCTACAGAATATGGCATTTAATATTGTTTTTGTTTGTTTGTTTATTTTATCCAAACAGGGTTTCTCAGTGAAACAGCCCTGGCTATGTAGACCAGAGTGGCTTCAAACTCACAGAGATCTGCCTGCCACTGCCTCCGTAGTGCTGAGATTAAAGATGTGTACCACCACTACCTGGCAATTCAAGATGTTTTAGTAACATAAGGTTTTTCGTGTCAGTGAAGCAACAACAATTTACTTAAAAAAGGATGGTGGACATTGAAGAACCTCCATATAAAGTCTGCTTTCATATGGCAAAAGATAGCCAGTTGGGCAAGAAACTGCCCTTGCCTCGATTGATGATAGTATACTGTCCAAACTGGACCAGCAGATCACAAAGAAAAGTGACTGCCAAACTTTGCCAAGAAAGGGTATGACAGTCCTTAAAAAATTCACAAAAAGTCTGTCAGATATTCTAGGCCTATATGCTAAGGATGGATGCCAACATTGCAGAGGAAACTTGGGTGACTCTCCAGGTAGCCAGCTGTTTCTGTCATTTCTTTTAGTTTTGAAATTTGCTTGCCCTACACTTTCTGTTTACTCAGGTAATATTATATCCTTCTGGGGTCTTTGATGGGGTTAAAGACTAGATAGTCATAGTTATAGTTTTCATTAGTTATGATAGTTTTCATTAGCTACAGAGTTTTAGACTCAACAAGACAGAATAAATAATGGAGTATTTTTCTCCATCTATGCCAAATAAAAAGGACTAGACATCGTAAATGCAATTCTTACCTGAAAATTGTTCATATTGTTTATAGTTTTATTATATTAGAGTTAAAACATTTTCACTTAAACAAAAGTGGAAATGTTGCAGAATATGTTTTATACACTGAAGAATTATTACTCTGATTGCTTTAATAAAAGGCTGAACAGCCAATAGACAGGCAGGATTTCCAGTGCAGAGTGGATACTGGGAAGAAAAAGAGCAGAGTCACAGGGAGTCACCAGTCCACAGAGAATAAGCCTAAGATATGGGCGGAACGTTCATAATTATTAATAAGAAATCTCCATGTGGCTAGTTGGGAGCTGGTCGGTGGGACAGAAAAAGTCCAACTACATTTCTTCCCTTAGGTTGCTTTTTTCAGAGTGTTTTTATCAAAGCACCAGGAAAGTAACAAAGTAACTAAATCTAAAACAACTAACAGATGTGGCAGTTTGAGCCAAAAAGCCATGACACATGACACGTGTTTCTCTGTGTCTTTGTTTCCTTGTTGTAAGACAGGTATAAGAATATCTTACCTCACAAAGTTGCTATGAACACTGATAGCTAATTCTCACAGCATGCAAATCAGTGTGGGGATAGGTGACTTGTACATGATAATTATTATTTATATTACTAACAGCCTAGTCATCCCTTATGCCAGTGTTCCCAGCTGGCATCACCCTTGGTTGATGCTCTTTTCACTATTGTGAATTTAGTATTATTCTTTAAGCTGACTCATTTCCTATTTACTTAAAATTTATTTTTAAAAGAAATTGTACCTCATATAGGGGAAAGTAGGATTGTGTCATAACTGAGAGGCAAATGTAAAAATAAACACAGTGAAAACAAATGACACCTGTTGTTGCCCAAAGTTGTCAATCACCAGCCTCCTGTGATATGCAAGTAGGCAGATGGGAGGGCATAAAGCTGGGCTAACCTCCAGAGACTAGGCAGGCATGTCTGACCTGCAGCTACAGGCCACATGTGTTACACAGTAGCTATGACTGTGGCCCAACATCTTGTAGATGACAATGTCATATTGCAATGTCAGATATTTAGGCATCCTGCACTAGAAGCACCATGGGGGAAGGGCTCTCTCCAAAGCTCTGCCATTTGAACTCCAGTTACTGTGTTCTATACTTTTAGCAACAAGAGAATCGCTGTCCCCCTCCCTGAGAGGCATGGCCCCATAGAAGCTTCCACTCTGATAGAGACATAAATTATCCTTGCCATTCAACACCACGGCCACCACAGGCACAGCTAGTAAGCACCTGAAACATGACTAGTGTTACCAAGGAACATGTGTTCAATTTATTTGGTTTTAAATAATTTCAGTCTAAACAACCATGTGTGATAGTGGCTATGGTGGGAGACAGCACAGTTCTACCAAGGAAGCCGCAAAGGGCTGGCTCATCACAGGCATGGGGTCATTTGTGGTTGTGCTCTCAGATGCCTGAAAAGGAAATCCTTCGAAAGTAGACAGTAAGTTGCCACAGGATATAGTGGATGATCATCTGCCCCAGCCTTCTTCACTCTGAAGCCCTCATGTGGATGTTTCTTTTTAGCTCCCTGTGAGGAATCAACAGCTTTTCTTGTTAGCAATGAAATTATCCTAAATAACCAACTGCATTTCCATTTCACAATGGCTGCCAAGAAGCCCTTAGGAAACTCAAATCACTGAGAAGGACTATGTTGAACTTCAAAATACATATAGTCTCTGCTTTTTCCTTTAAAATATTTGAGCACACATTTTACCTGGCCCTGGTATATTTTTTTCTCTTCTCTTTTATCATTCTTTCTATGTTTCTCTAAAAATTACCTCAAGTCTGAACAACATGCATTTTATTAAAAATCATATAAATAATGCCCAGTGGTACCATTATTCAAATAAGTCATTTCTATCCATTATCAGTGACATGGAAAACACTGCACAAAGTTTCCTAAAGTGTTTCCAAACACCAACCAGAAGCACTGTCAGACAAGGGCTAATGCATATTCTATACATGAACCTAAAAGCATAAACATCAAATTCCCATAAATCGGGTTGCAAAAGCATCTACAGAGCACTGCAAAGCTGAACCCACAAGTACTCATGCAAACAGGGCTTGAACACTTTTGAGGCACTGAGTGGAGATATTTGCAGTCTTTACTTGTCTGCAGAAAAAGGGCCCTTTCTTTTGCAATTTGTAACCTGACTAGGCATGGTGGCACATACTGTATTCCACATGCTTGCAAGTTCAAGGCCAGCCCAGGGTATGTCCCAAAATCCCATCTCAAAACAACAACAAAAGCATAGTCTTATTTTCATTAGGGTCATCTTCCCACTCTCAGACATGTGGTTGAGTGAGATCACTGCCAACCCTGGTACCAGCAATGATTACAGGAGCCAAATGGAACCAGCCATGAAAATCAAAATTCTTCCCCTAACCCTAAGATTCAGCCATAGACCTGAGATACAAGATGGACTATGAGACATGGCCCAGATCTTGGCTGAAGCCGGGCAGGCAGACTGGGTGTGTGGTGCTGCTGGGAAACAGCCATCAAACCACAGACAACTGGCAAAGTCACAGAGCAACAACAACACAAGGCAACAACAGGAAACTCCATGCACATCCTCCCACTTGACCAAAGGCCACACACCACCTCAGGGTAGTCCTACAGATACATAAATGGTGCCAACATTCAAAGCACCGTAGTACAAACATGGTATCAACATGAAATCCAGGCACTTACCTGATAAACATGGAATGCATTGGCTGCTTTACCCCGGAGAAACACAGATGGGATCCAGACATTGATCAGGGCCCGATTTGATCTGACCAGAATAAAGAGATGAGAGTGGCCATTTTTACTTACAAAAGCAGGCCAAGAGACTATCTTCTCCAAGAGGCATTTCAAAGAAGTCACTTATACAACAGACATCATACTTAACAGTGAGATAAGGACATGTTTAGCACTTATCACTAGACCTCAGAGGACTATCTCTGAGGACCTTGGTTTAAAGGATATGGTATATATTTTATATATATATATATATATATATATATGTGTGTATATATATATATATATATATATATATATATATATATATATAAAAATTTATATATCCAGTGTAGACTCTAGGATGAGAAAGAGCTTGGTCTTCAGTTCTAACAAGCTAAATGACCTTGGACTAGGATGCATCTGAAGCTCAGTCACCACATCTTATAGAGGAACAATAATAGGGAACCATGAGAGGTCATATACAGTAGCACTCCATGGAACCACCTGCCTATCTCCTACTCTCATTTCTGACCCTGATCTCCATTTTCACACAAGAGCTCAGGAAAGCAATTATTACCTATAGTTTTTGGAGTGACAGCTGCTTGGACTTGGAGGAGAAAAGGACAATGGAAAATAACAAATTAGAAAACCTCAATTGTCAGGTACAAATAAACTCTTATGACTCCTCTAAAACACTGTGCATAGTGCAGTCATACTTCATTTCAGTTGTCCCTTTGACACATCCAACTGGACTGAGAGCATGACTACAGGGCAAGTTCTTAATTGCTAACTGTAAAAGGCCCAGTAGACCTCAGTAGTACATCCCTGGGTAGACAGGAAGGTAGCTGAGTGAGGGAGAGGAAGCAAACTGGTAAGGAGTGCTCCTCTGTGGTTTCTGATGGACAGTAACACATAAGCCAAAGAAGCCCTTTCCTCCCCATGTTACTTTTGGTCTTAATGTTTATCACAACAACAGAGAAGCTAATTAGGACAAACGGTCCAAGACAAGTAAAACTTAAGTTAAATTGCATGGTGCACAGGTCAATGGTAGATAACTTGCCCAGCACAAGCTGGTGCCTGGGTTTGATTTGCAGCACCTAGAGAAGGAAACCAAGTACAAAACCATTCCCAGAGGGCATCAACTGCACACCCCCATGCTTTTCTTCACACAGACTCATTAACCCCCTGAGACCTATTTAAGAGATATCTGAGGGTATTATGGTTATATGACAATTCCGCCTTATGGGGTGACTTGAGATATATAATGCACACCCCATCACAGCTCTACTGACCTGAAAAGGGGGCTTTTGGCTGAGATCTTTGGGAGCATCCTAACAGCTGTGTAGGCATGGTGTCCCTTCCAGAAGACCCTGTCTTGCCTCTCCCCAGAGCTATCCAGGGAGAGGGCTTATCCTGAGCATTCTTGCTCAGAACACCTGGGTTTGTAGCATAATCCAAGACACCAGGGGTTTGTTGAAGCCTCCATGACTTTCATGATCTCACAATCTCCAGGGTGAAAAGCAATCTATCCTAACAAAGAAAGTAACCCTCAGGTGAGCAGCACTGAGAACCTGGCACTTCTAAGCCCTGGGCCAAGGTGATGACCAGGGGACAATAAACTGTGAATGATCACGAATTCAGGGTTCAAAGTACAATCAACAATCTTCACCCACCAAATTGGTCTGTGTATCCAATGGATTTCACAAAGGTCCCAACACTGTGTCTGTTCCTAAAGCACCCCAGACATTTCTGCAACTTAAGTCAGGGGTATAGACAGAAAAGCAATGGCCTGGTTCCATTCCTTTTCTCAAATGCTAACACCAGGTGATCTCACAGGGTCAAAGCAGATGACTCTAGACTGGGTTACATGTCCTTTTCCCAAACCATTTACGTTGTGCTGGCAGTGACTGCCTGTGTGACCTCTGCCTGCACATCAGCTCCTCTGGTCCTACTCCATTTATCATTCGTCTGTTCAGGAAATGTGTATCTAGTTAGAACCTAACATGTGGCAGACTCAACCCTTAGTACGGAGATAGAGGAACAGAGAAAACAGAGGCAACAAATTATTCTGCCATGTCCAAAGAAAATAGAATGATCCAGTTTTAATTTTTTATTGGCACATGGTCTAATTTGGAGAGTATCTTATGTATAGTTTGAAAGAAATCTGTTATAGCTTGGATCTTTAGGATCCATATGGCTCATGTGTTAAACACTTGGTCCCCTGTCTGTGATCCTAAGAGGTGGTCTAGTGGAGGGAATTATGGGGCCACAGTCTTAACCTGTGTTTCCCAGCACCATGAGCTAGGCAGCTTCCGGCCAGCCATGACATGTTTTTCAAGAACCATAAGCCTGCCTTTGCATTGATTGAAACCTACAAAACAAAACAACCCTTTTAAATCTATAAGCTGATTAACTTGGTTACTCTCTTAAGTAATGAAAATCTGACTAACAAGTGTGTATTCTATTTGTATCTGTCTCTTTATCTATGTTGTGCTTAATTACTTTATAGCGTTGTTCAAGTACAATTACTTACAGATCTTCTTTCTGGTGGTTCTATTACTGGAAACGGAGTATATGGTCTCCAACTGTTATCCTAGAACTGGTTTCGTTTTAGTCTGTTCTTATATCATGTGTTTTAAGGTCCCATGGTTGGGATATATACATTGGAGTGTCAAGCTCATCTTCAACTTTTAGATGATTTTCTCCCTGTCCTTACTTTCTTATCAGTCCCCAAAACAGATGGGGATTCCAATGTCCTGTGCCTGCCGCCCATAGTCTTACTTCAGTTGCTAACATACTCTGCAAAATTGGTTCCAGGACTTTCCCATATGAAAAGAGGTGACATGTGGCTTATCTGAGGTTACAATGTTGTAATTCCAGTGCCTAAGATTTCAACACAAGTCTCCTGGTTCTAGAAAAAAATGTTCTTTCAAATGTCCTGCCTCCCCCATGCTCTAAAAGTAGCCTTTCTGAATGATCCTTCTCATAGGGAGGCAGGACCTTTGTTGTTGGTGAGACAAAGGTTCACTGTGTCTGGCTGGTCTTGAATTCCTGGGTCTAAAGCTAGAGAGGCTGGACCTTCATCCACTGACCACAACCACGTGAGAAGGAGGAAGCTCTGTGTGGCTCTGTACTTGGGAGTCTGAGGGGTCTATGGATCCCCAAAACAGAGTCTGAAGAACAACTGTCCTCTCAGGGGTTAATAGCAGAGCCATCAGACAGAATCTGAGCCAGTAAATACCAGAGCAATGTGACTATTATGGGTGGACTAGACAGTAGCATGGAGCATGGGGCAGCAACAAGGTGAAAAATAGGGTGTGGACCCTGTGCAACAAGACCCTCAGCTCCTGCTTAGCTGACAGTGGCCTTGCAGGAGTGACAAGTTAAAACTTCATGTGACACCTTCCCAATTTTAAATGTCAAGTCAAAACCAAAATGATTTTAAATGCCCAGGGGACTAAAGCACATTAGATGATCTGGACGTCAGCAAATGTCCTCAGCTCTACAACCAAAAGTTCTGTGTGAACCTCATGAACCTTTCTGCTATTCCCTGTGAACTTCAGGACACGGGCTAGCAACAGGGTTCACTCTTTTTAAGGACCTCTAAAGAATACATGCATGAACTTACATTTCAAAATCTGACAAGCTCTGGTCTTCAGATGTTTGGCTCAAATCTCCAGGTACCTGCAGTTAGGAAAAGGAAGGTGGAGGTGGGGGGGGGGGGTAAGACAGGTTATCACAGTTTGTACATTCACCAAATATTGTCTCTCCTGTCCCCAAACACTTCCTCTCAGAAGGAGGGGAAAGCAGCTACTGGAAAACAATAAGATTTCATGGCAAGTTGGCTGGAGATGGTACTAAAGTCATAAAATCATGCTGCCACGCACGATCTCAATTATCTTTACAGGAAAAGCACTGTTAATCCTATTGAGATAATCATGGGCATATACAAGCATATAATTTTTGGAGCCATAAAGGACTAATTAGGATCATCTATGCAATGAAAAATATATCTAGTGTCACTGTGAGAGTATCAGAAATGTCACACCTAGTACATGAGCACAAAAAGTCACTACTCCCTAAAAATGCCTGTCCTATTGTCCCATAATATATGTGCAACTATAGGCAGAAAGAACATAGAGGCTCCTGGGTGAAATGAGCTATGTGAAAACACGATTGGTGACTAAACCAAATAGTGTCATGATGGCCCCTACCAAGGTTGCTTGGGGTCCTAACCACATGCCACAAAGTCAAGTGAGATGGCCAGGAGGTACCAACAGCATGTGACCTCCAATGACCCCTTGTTCCAACCCTGGCCTGTGATGGGGATCAATCTTCAAGGCTGGAACAAGGGCTTACAATAGCTGTGCTATGACTATGTGATCCTCATGCTAGCAGATACTAAATAGATGATGTGTTCACCTACCACTCAGGGGAGGGACTTCCTCTTGCCATCTGATTGAAATTGACAGGATTTTAAGAATGTGGACAAATAAAGTAAAAACAGCTGGAACGAGAAGAGTGTGAGAAAACAAGGGGAAACTCTGGACAATATACATCAATATCCATGACAACTGAGGGGCAAGTTCTGTTTTCCTCTCCTAACAAGTGAAATCAAGATTTGGAGTTCCCATCTAGGAAGTAGGTAAAAGCCAGGCCTGTCCAGCTCAGTCTTCTGTGATGAAAATGAAGAAGAAACCAGCTAAAAGACAAAGGAAGTCTTGAGGCTGGCATATAAGGAAGGCTGAAAGAAACTACAAAGTTGAAGAGAGCAGCTTAGCTCTAGAGGCAGGGGCTTGATGAGTGGGGGCTGACCTAAGTGGCTCAGGACCAACTTAGTGCATCCTTTCAACCTGGCTCCACCGCCATGAGCAAATCAGTTCTCTGAGACACTGTGATGGGTGGATTCAGAATCACCTGGAAGACTGGTGCATTTGTGAGGACATTTCTGGAGGCAATTAACCAAGAGAATCCTGTGTTCAGAAGACTCAGAAAGCAGACATGGAATGGACAGCACCAGGTCTTCAGGCCATGCCCCAAAGTTATGTAAGCATGGAGATCCTCTCACCAGCTGAGCTGCCAGGGAGCTCTGAGGGGGCTCCAGGGATGTGATTCCTGTGGGCCATCACCCATGCCAGAGTGGGCTTCTTGGTCAGCTGCCTTTGTTTCACACATGTAAGTAACCCTAATAAATTCACTAGATCACCAAGATAGATAGAATCATTCCTTTGCTCCTGTCTGGGGTGAACAGACATTTGCTCATGGTTCCCCAGGTAAAGACACAAAACAAAGAGAAAGGCCCACCCTCAATGAGAATGACACTATCCCTGCACCACCCCCAGCAGAACAGGGGGTAAGGAGAAAGCCAGCCAGTGCCAACATTCCTTCTTATTGCTTTTCATCTAAGTTACTCTGCCATTTCTCCTCACCATGATGGACTGAAGCCCCTGCAACTATGTGCCAAAACAAACCAACCTCTCCTTAGTTTGTTTACATCAGGTTAACAGTGATAATACTGACACTATCAGGGTTGTTCTGAGGATAAAATGTGCCCCTGTCTACAGAAAACACAATAGGAAGACCACAGTCACTCGCTGCATACACAGATGACAACATGGCAACCAGTGAGAAGTTGTACATTGTTATCCTTGATGTTGCATGGAGAATCTCTCTAGTCAAACTGAGGGTACCTCTCAACCTATGCATAACAGTCTGTGGGGAGAGTTAACCCAGGTTCAGCTGCAGCTAGGGAATTAAACTGGGCCCTGGCCACACACCTTTTCTACCAAAGTACTGCTGAGAGATTTTGGAAACCCAACAAGGAGATGACTGCCCTCCACTCTCACATGACCATATGCATCACTGGGCTTTGGTTTGCTTTCTTGTGGGAGCCTGTAGAGAGTTGACATAACATATTCAAAAAGAGGACTACAGGCACCAAGATACCTAAAAGATTTAATTCTTTCAGAGGGGATATCTAAAATCAAAATGCCTGTAAGAAATCACACCTCAGGCAGCAGATATGGTGCTGGAATATTTGCCAGCATGGACAAGGCTCTGGAGTCCATCCCCAGCATAAACTAAAACCAAATCTGGTTTCTTGATTATAGAATTTAAAATGTATACAAACTATTCAACTATTTTAACAATATTAACTACAGAAGATGGAGAGATTAGAGAATAACCATGCCAAGAGGTCTGTTAAAACAAGTTTTAAAGAGAAAAAGAGGGACCTCTATCCTGGATACTACACAACAAACAGTTTACATAGACTACCGCTGACAGCCGGTGGAGAGTAAGACTGAGGGGGAGCCTTGATTTCCATTACCCATCTTTCTGTAGGATGACAGGAGCTATCTTCTGAGGTTCTTTGAAAAATGTAGATGCTTCTGAAGACTGAGCTGACTTTCTCCATTATGCAAAGACCTACAATACAGAGGAAATAAGGAACCCCTGGTGCAGACGTAGGCCTAACACAACTCAACCAGCATGGAGAGGTGAGACCTACCTATTACCTGTGTCTGTTTTTGCATCAGAAATCTGCCGGTGTAAAATTCAAGGCACTGATGGCAGACATACCATGTGCTACAGTGGAACTTGGGCAACTGGATGCTCATCATCATATCCAATTTTTTTCTTTTCTTTTCTTTTTTTATTTTTTGAGACGAGTTCTCACATAGGCCTTGAGCTCTCTATACAACTGAGAGTGACCATGAACTTTTGATCCTCCTGGCTCTGTCTTCCCAGTGCTGGGATTACAGGCATGTGCCACCCCTGATCCATGTAATCCTGGCACTGGAACCCAGGCCTTTGTACATGTTCAGCAAGTGCTCTAGCAGTTGAGCTACATCTCCAGCTTACCATGTATGCATTTTAAAATAAAGTTCTACCAGTTAAGATCTTAAATAAAAGTGTGGTGGCTATCCTGTCTTGGTTAGGGTTTCTATTGTTGTGAAAAGACACCATGACCATGGCAAACATTGTCTTATAAAGGAAAACATTTAATTAAGGTGGTGGCTTACAGTTTCAGAGGTTTAGTTCATTATCATCATGGCAGGGAACATGGTAGCATGCAGGCAGACACAGTGCTGGCTACATCTTGATCAGAAGGAAATAATCCGAGACACTAGGTGGTATCCTGAGCATAGGAAATCTCAAAGTATGTCCCCACAGTGACACACTTCCTCTAACAAGGCCATACCATTCCAACAAAGCCACACCAACTAATAGTCCTAATCCCTATGAGGTAATGGGGATCAATTACATTCAAACTACCACATACCCAAAGTGTACTTTTGATAAAAGTTTGATAGAATACAAACAAGCAGTGAGGGAATGCATGTGGCCAGTATGCTTCCTAAGTCTAACAATGCCTGTGTGTCATTCCGGTTAGAACAACAAAATACAACTAAAAGATGACAGCAAATTCAGATAAATCTGAATTAACTATTTTGAACTTTTCTGCAGTATTCTATAATGAAGATACTTTAACTGATACACATTCTAGAGCAATCTGTGTGCCTTATTATTAAAGTAGATATTCTTTCTCCATCTTCTTTCTGCAAGTTGCAGAAAGTCAGATGGGAAATACTTTGCCTTTGGTCACTGGTACAAGTGAGAAGGACAGAGGCAGGGCACTGAAGTCATGTGCTGTGCCTTTCCTCTCTCCCCTGTGGTACCATGTGGAATGCAGACATGCCCAAGGCTCCCAGAGGAGGGACAGTTCCCAGTCACTGCTCCTCCCTGAATCTCCCAGACTCAACTCCTGGGGCCAGGGACAGTTCAAGATTAACTAATTGGATGGGCTCATGTTTTAGGGACAAACAGCATCTCCTTACCAGGACACAAGAGCCTCATCTTAAAGGCTGTGTCCCCCAGGGAGTCTACCTCAGAAAAGCCTCTGAATGTGTGGGTCACTCAAAGCAGACAGCAAAGGCAAACCAGAGGGAAGGAAAGGAAAAGACAGAGAGCAGGCATCAATCTGCCATTACAGAGCAAAGAGCTTCCTCAAGGAGAAGGAAATGGGAGGGGGGAGGGGGGAAGGGTGAGGAGGAGGAGAGGAAGGATGAGGCACCAGGTGTTTTTCTGCCAGTAAGTGTCCCCTCAGGGATGCTGGTTTTCTGGGAACATTCTAGAGAGTGACTGTAATTGCTTAGAGTTTTCTAAGTCCTGCGGCTTAGAGGCTTTTCTTCTAATTTTGTGGCATCACCAGGATCAGGAAGCCAGGAGATATTTACTGTGTCTTCCTGTATACTGGAGAGGCTGCTTGGGGAAAAAAAAGATTATGATCTTGGGGGCCTCTAGGGAACCAGGCTTGTGACAAGGCCAGGCTTGGCACTAACTACACCATGGTCAATGTCAATGTACACCTGAACTTTGCCTGTCCTGCTATCTGCCCAAAGTGATACCAGATCTCCCTGGGGTTCACACCAACATCTTGTTATTTTTAAGTCTGGATGTGCCATCTGCCATACCACAATACTCTACCACTAAGTAATACCCACACCTTTTTTAGTTTATATTTTGAGAAAGGTCTTACTAAGTTATTTGGAGCCAGGCAGGCCTTGAACTTTGAATCTTCCTGCCTTGTCCGCCAAATAGTTTGGGTTATAGCTGTGTGCCACCAGGCTTGGCCAGATGCTGATTCCAAAGCACATTCGGTCAATAAATAAGTGTGGAACAGA